AGGTGGTATCGTTGAAGGGTTTCGGTGGGGATTTTGGAGGAGGCGATCGGCTAGGCTGCGATCGAGATAGGGAGACGGAGCTGGGTTCGGTCACGAGTGGAAGGAGGCTACGATGCTTCTCTGTGAAGACGGATCGGGAGAAAAGGATAGCCACGAGCTTCGGTGCGGGGCTTTGATGAGCAGAAGTTTTCGGTCGATCGAAAGGAAGTTGGGTTTCGAACTGGAGGAGATGGCGTCGAGCGGGAGAGGAGCTGACGAGGAGGGGGCTGAATCTCGTCGTCCAAGGAGAAGGGCGTCCAAGAGCTCAGCGGGATCTTGTATTCGAGGAATTCAAAAATGACAGTTATCCGATAATGGGCGGGTAATTGATGAATTTCCAACGGGGGAGGAGTTTTATTTGGCTATAATAACTCCTAATTAAATTTCATTAAGGCTAACTATATGATTCATTTGAAATTTGAAATTTGAAATTTGAAAAATTTGAAATCTGAAAATCGTTTAGCCGCCTGAGTCCAGCCCGAATTGCACTTAAGCCCGAGTCAAACCTGGGTTGAGTCCGGGCCCGCATCCCGCTAAAGGAGAAAAAAAATGCATCGATTTCTGTGCAAACTGTGCGCGCGCGTAACCCTAACAATATGGGTGTCTTTTCTAGCTAAAATCGACGTTCCGGACGCGTCGGCGCGGTCCGTTTCGTCATCCGGACGAGTTTGCCGGCGGGCGAGTCAATTTAAGCCAAAACTGTGTGTGATGCAACGAGTGCGTTGCTGAGTCACCGAGGGTTAACCTAAGGTTGTTTGATCCTATTGGAACTCATTTTCAGACCCTCTGCATGTTGGTCCTTAGCCCTTGCAACTAGAAGTTGAGTGCTTGGGACCATTCGTGCGAGTTTTCACAAAAAATGAGTAAAGAAGCGGTTTGAAGTTCTATGGGAGGTGGGCTCCATTACTAGTCCGCTAGGATGGTCAACCAGGAACTCCTAAGGCTAGATTATGGGTTCTGGGAGTAGGAGACTAAGACCTCACAAAAATGAGGTCAACATGCTCATGCACATATTTTATGTTTTTGGTTCTTCCTTATGAGACTAGTATTGACTTAAACATGGAACAATAGGTGTTTCTAAATTGAAGCTTGCAATGATTTTATAACTTAGCATCTTATGCTCTGGAACGATATCACAACCACATAAAATACTTCTGGTTTTACCTAATTTGGTTTCTTAAGTTTAGCAAAACAGAAGTAAGATAGTAAATAACATTTAGTAGATCACTCAAAATTTGATTAATGTTAAAACTTAAAGATACAATTACTGGAATTAACATTTCGGAATTTAATTTATGGAGGCAACTTTTTGATGTGCATTCTTTCAAGTTCATTGATTAGCTACTTGCCACATAAATTGTTTTTCTTCTAATGGTTTGTTTTGGCAAACACATTTTTAAAAGCATTAATGATGAAAATGGTCACTTTTTAGGTGTGTCTCTTTTAGTTTTACACCATTTCAAGTGTCAATTTAGTCAGTCAACTCATCAAATTTGAATCAGTTTACCTATTTATCAACTTTGCCAATTTTTTTTTGGACGAAAATGGATGCTCCTAAGTTGAAGCTTTCCATATGGATATCTTTTACATTTTAGTGCAATTTCGTTAAATTTAAGTTCAAATTAATGAAAGTGATAATAAAAGTCTAAAATTTCCTCATGGAAAGCTTCCTTCCATCATCTTTTGTCCCCGACACTGATAAAATTGACGTTAGGATAAAATTGTTTCAGATTTAGAGAGTTGAATTTCTAAATTTGAATACATGAGAACATTAAAGTCTAGAGGGCAAAAACTGGTGTTATGACATAGGTTTTGTTAAGGATAGGATGTGTCTGCATCACCGCAGAATATAAAACAGGCAAGTGACTGAGAATGAAGGAGGATTTTTAGCTGCAGCAATGATGCAGCGATCAACATGAGGTTCAGATGCTAAGAGAAGAAGAATAGGTGATTAAAATTATTGCGAGAGACGGCAGACCACCTCTTGAAGGTGATGAAGGTATGGGATAGTCCGTGATATTGAACGTGACAGAATCTTTAGAATGACAGAGCTTGTTAGGAAATTAATGGAGAAAGGAGACTAGGAGAACTTGGCGCTTTGTGACACTGAGTTGTCATAAGAAAATCATTGAATCTCATGAATGTACTAGATGCTAACATGGTCTGATGGAAAGAATGACTGAGCGTGTTCTGCTTGTGTTGAACTAGCTTTTGTCATATTTTTTTTTAACTAGAGTGGGCTACATTATATACCCATTCCACTAAGCATTTGTGTTTCAGAAGCATAGGATTGATAGTGGATACACAAGATGCTCCATACATTGTATGACAGTAAAATTTTTAGTCATTCACCTGTGCCTTCCAAATTATATAAATAGAACTAGTTTTCAAAAGACAAAGCCTTTGTGTAGTCTTGAAGCTGTTTGTTTTCCCAATGTTTTCATTCAAATGCACTCAAATATTTTTCTTCATTTGATCCGAGTCGAGTTCTTATAGTACTTTTTCTTTGTGGTCACAAGCTCTTAACATAGTTGCATCTGATTTTTCACGTTCAATTGATTACTACTGTTCATCTTCCGTTTACCACTTTCAAACATATTTCTTTGAACCTCAACATTTACAGAAATGGTGCCAATCGCCGTCTTTCAGTTTACAAAAGCAAAAAGAAGCAGAAAAACAACAAGGAAGAAGAGTTGGTTACCTCTCTGTGCTTTTCTGAAGAGTCAAAAGCTGTGATTCAAGATATTTTTATACGCTATCCACCTGATTCTGGAGAATTAAGTGAAAATATTTTACAAAACTGTAGCAATGCAGTTTATAGTGCGCATTGGAAGCAGGATATTTGCTTTTCAAGGCCTTCAATATGTAAGGATGAAATTAAAAAGAAAATGGAGCTGCTTGCATTAAGGAAGAATGATGACTCAAACTTTAGAAAGGTTTATTTCTTATTTCTTTTATTTGTATTTTTAAAGCCCTTTATTGATTGTATCAATTCTGTTTTGTAATTTGTTTCAAATTTCTGTATTGGGATGTAGCTGAATGATTATACATGCAGACTGCAGAAGATATAGCTAAACTTCCGATTGCATCCTATGTGAATGCTATAACATCAGCTTTGGAAGCTCACCAGGTCCATTAACTCTTTCCTTCATCACATTTCCAATTTCTGTGTTTGTTGATTCTTTTTGTAAGCTTGTAGTTGTATTCCTTTGGTGGCTTTCTTGACACGTATGATTTCTGTTCTATATTGATGTTAGGCTCCTTGATTTCTACGCTTGGCCTACAAAATAAAGACAATATTCCTTAATAATAAAAGAATTCTCTTTCTACCTCATTATACGGAATGTATAACTTGAAGTTTAAGATTCGTGGACATTTTAAAAAGTATAGTCATCTTATTGGAAAATCATATCTACATCTCCATTGTTACTTAGACCATTGCATTATAAATGTAGCTATTAACTTCTATTCAAAGATTTAGTAAACTTATGAGTTAGTTTACAAAAAAATGATTAACAGTCTAAATTCACAAAGATGAGTGCATGTTTAACTTCAGTTTTGTTTTCATTATCTCATGCCTAATGTAGAACATTTATGCATTTGGCTTGGATTTGGACTAGATGAACTAGCCAACTTTAGGTTTCGTTATTGATGTGTGCTAGAAAATCCGCGGCGATAGAGTATTAGATTATCATCTTAGCGTTGCACGAGAATTCAACATACACCCAAATGAAAGAAAATAACCAGCAGAGATACTAGGAGGTTTTATGTAGAAAATATGCAAAGGAAAAAATCACGGGGCCTGACCCAGCTAAAGAGATCCATTATAAGCTGGGGATTACAAGTACGGTTCCTTGTCCCACAGGTGGGAGAGGGCTACACAATATTTTGAGCTATGAAGGCGGTGCACAGATGAACTTGTCATAAGTGGGTGGCAGCTAATGCTGATCGACGGTGGCCGACGAGTGGCGGTCGGCGGCTGTCGACAGTAATCGACGAGTGGTGGTCGATTGCGGCCAACAACGAAGTGATGCTAGACATCAGCTCTTCTAAGCTTTAGTCTTCTTCAGACTTCAAGCTCATCCTCTCATGTGAAGGGTTAGACTCTATTTATAGAGTTATGGTTGCAATTAATGAATGAATATGAACTACTTAGATAGGAAGACCCGGAGAGATTCTCTTAATCAAAAGTTGGTTGATGTACATTTGAGTGCCTTAAAGATGCCAGAATTGAGCGATATTGTGATTCGTTTTGTCGAGATGCTCGATTCAACTTAAAGCTTGTCAGAGTCAACATTTGTTTGACCTTCCACGTATGTTTGGAAAACTTCCAAAAGTGGTTTAATGGCTTGATTTGAGCTTGATTTTACTTGGATTAGACCAATTCATCTTGTCGAGATGGTTAGTTTGACTGTAATTTTAATAAAGTTGGAGTTATGAATGTCTTTTCATTGAAGTTTGAACATTCTTTGCTGAAATTTGTACCTCTCCGTTTGTTATTCTCGTTTTTAATACATATTTGATTTTGTCTGTTCATTTTTTTCAACTGTCTAAAACCTAAAAATAAATTAGAGCAACATAATGAGTTATCTAATGATAACCTATAAGCAATCATACTTCTAAACTACAATAATTTGAGAAAAAGAATAAAATATGCATGTTGGTTCTGTTATATCCCTATAAGAAATCTTTTAACATGCTTAACTTTTATATTTTTATAAGAAATCTTATATATGCTAATTCATGTATTAATGACCTATTTCTAAATGAACCTAATCTTATATGTGCATTTATCTTAACTTTACTTTTACTTTATACTATTTACATACAATTTCTGTCTATGTAAGGATCACCATCAATAAAATCTTACACACCTTTGGCCGATATTGTTCCGTTGGTTCTCGCAACACAAAGGTTAGCGATCTACATCGCAATTGTCTATGGTGAAAATATCCTTACCTACCCTTAGCCAATATTGTCCTGTTGACATAGCGGTTAGTGATCTTACTATCACAATTGTTTGGGGTGGTCTAAAAACTCTACGCGCGCGGTACATTGACATCCCTTATATGTACCATTAGGGGGTAAAATTTTTCTCCAATCATGGACATATAAGCATCCATATATAAATTATTTCATTTTTTATAATATATATTATTCTGAGAGGTCTTTATGCATCTACTAGTATGCATGTTTTACTCTGCTATGCAACTATTCACCAACATAACTCTCATATCATGCATATCTCTTATTTATATTATGCATGTCATTTTCCATAGAGCTTATCATGCATATCTTGCAGATTATGTATATCATACATATCATGCATCTCGTACACATGTTTCATGCATGTCTATCATGACTAATAATAATATGAAGGATCTAATTAAACTAGAACAGTCATGCAATCAAACATACATTTTACAAAAAAGAAGATTACTGAAATTTAAAAATGTAATTACTCGCCTTAGTTGTTGTGCTAAAATTTTATCATCGTAATTAGCAGGCGTTGTGATAACTTTATGTTGAACTTAATAACTTATAAAACATAATATTAAAATTTAAGATTTAAACAATTTTTATTAGAAAATTTATTTTTCTTTGCTTAGAATTAATTTACTTGAATTTACTAGGTCACTTTACGGTGAATTTTTACATTCTTGCCTTGAGCCAGCCGCGCCAAACAAATAACCTGGAATATGCAATTAACTTCAGATTTAAAAATATCGTGGCTCATAAAGTAATTGATACCAGAGGTAATCCAAAGCACACTATAAAACACAATTTTATTACTGATTTAAAATAATGTTACAAAAAAAACACATAAAACAAAAGAGAAAAACAAATGATTGCAACTAATGACTCAATAAAGAAGACACAAGCTTGATGAGGAGGGAATCTGTCAAAGTGATGCTAGATCGGTGACTGCGATGAAGTCTGGAGGGGTGTCAGGTTGCTGTGGGAGCAATAAAGTAGCAGATCAGTGATAGTAAGGCGTTGAACCAATGTCGTCGAAGGTTGGAACCGAAGAGATAGCGAAGGGTGACGTATAGGGGACAGGGAAAAGAGGTGGCCTTTTGGGGCAGGGTGGCGGCACAATGCTTGCTGGGTTAGGGAAGACGTGGCTTGCGGGGCAGGGTGGCGACACAATGCTTGCAGGGGCAAGGAACAGGGAGGAAGGAGGGCGGCGGAAGCCGAGGAGCAGAGGAAAAGGGGCTGCGGGCTACAGGAAGGCTATCTGCAGTGGCGGGAGGCACTGGGATCATCAGACATAAGGTGGAGACCTCTTGAGATGAAGGTGGCAGCGACCTGGAAGCTGCCGGCCAGTTGGAAGGAAGGCAACATCTTCTGGAAGGCAAGATAGAGGGCTGTGAAAAATGGTTGGAACGGGCTGTGGCCTGTTGGGAGGGAGGTGACAACTGTTTGGAATGCAACATAGAGGGCTGCGACTTGCTTGGGAGGGAGGCGACGGCTGGTTGGGAACTGATTCATTGATTTGCATACTGCTGGGCTGACGGGGGCAACAGCAGGAACCACAATTTAGCAGAAGCGGGGCTTGTTGGCTGTAGAAGGGAGCTGGTGTAGCGTGTTATAGGAGGACAGAGAACGAACCCGTGGTAGGCAGACAGTAGGGGAGCTGCTAGCTGGTGCTAAGAGGAAGGTGGGGTGGAGGTGGCCTGTCGGAGTCAAAATGATGGAGATAATCACCACCTTGGATGAGGTTACAGCCGAATCACTTTCCTCGTCGGATACGGCTCTCGGGAGGGAAAATATTAAGATAAAACTGAATTCAAATTTCAAAATAAAGGTCCCTAACACTACTAGACACTTTATCTCTTATTTATAAAAGACTTGGTACTAATTTCTTAAATATTTTAATTAAGAAAGGAGAATAAAAATAAAATCAAGATATAAGATTTTAGGAAATGTTTAATTTAGGGAAGGAGAATAAAATCAAGATCTCAGATTTTTAGGAAAAGTTTAATACAGGGAATAAGAATAAAATCAAGATTTTGACTTTTAAGAAAAGATTTAAATTAAGAATAGGTCTAGGAAGGAAAATAGGAAGAGGAAGAAAGGATAGAAAAAAGGGAGAAAACGGAAAGGAATGGGGAGGGAGGGGACGGTGGGCCCCCCCTCCAAGAGGACCAGCCGGTCTGCTGGGCTGGACCTATGCCTAACCGGTTCTCCATGAGCCTCGCATCAGTCTCCTAGGGTTGGGGGAACTTCGACCTAAACTGTCAAAGCTTCTGGATCCTTGAGTAGGACCTGTAATGTTAAGTGTGACCTAAATGTTGTAGTCCCCTGGTAAGTCAATCTTGTATGCGTGCTCGTTGAGTTTTCGTAGAATTCTGAAAGGTTTGTTTGCTTTGGGTTTTAGTTTTTCAAAAGCTCTTACCAGGAATCATTCCTTTTTTAACTGAATCCAAACGAGGTGGCCTATTTGAAATGTTACTTTTTCTTGATTTATTTGCTTGTATTTGATATTTTCAGTTTTTTTTAGCTATCTCGTCACCAACCTCTTTGTTTATTGCTGGACCTTGTGAACCTGCTATGTAGCATCTTGGCTATCAATTTGGGTCAGCGGGTTGGGTTTGTGTCTGACCTGAAAATGATCCGACCCGAATATGGTCAACCCGAACCAAACCCAAATAATTAACGGGTCAAAATTTAAAGACCCGAACCCGAACTTGACATGCTAATCCGAACCCGACCCGGACTATTGTCCTTATTCGAGTCATGTTTGGGTTTTTAGGTTCAACCCGAACCTGACTCGAATAATAAACAAGTTGAATTCTCTGACTCGAACTCTACTAAAAAAATATTCGGTCAACCTTAACCCAAAATTTTCGAATCGTATTGGCATATCAGGTCAATTTTTGACTGTAATCTTGGATGACGTATGACGCCAGTAGAAGTGGAACTAGGTCAAGTGATGTTAGTTGATTACGACCGCAGACCATCTTGAATGGGATGCGTCCAATTGTCTGGCTTGTGATTCTATTGTAGGCGAATTCAACTCGAGCTAGGACGAGGTCCCATTCTTTGATCTTCTTTTTTATGAAGCATCTTTGTAGGTTGCCCATGCTCCTGTTCACTACTTCGGTCTGATCGTCTATCTGTGGGTGA